CACATAATTTATAATACCTTGGAATGAACAGACACACCAGAATGATAAAATTGTAAGACAAGTTGGCTCAGATGCCTGGTTATTAAAAATAAAAAATAAAAAATTTTATCCTATGTGAGCAGAATAGTGCACCATTGAGCCTCATAAATACTAGAAGTGTGGATTGATAGGCTATATTTCTAATTTTTTCTCAATTGATTACACAAACGGGTCATAGCTCAGTGGTAGAGCATTTGACTGCAGATCAAGAGGTCACCGGTTCGAACCCGGTTGGGCCCTTTTTATAAAATTATCATTATTTTTTTTTTTCCTTTTTCTTCTTTGAAATTGGTTGTATTCTCCTGATGACTTTTTTCCTTTTATTCAATCAAACTTTAGATTCAATTAATTGTCCTAATTACATTTTCCTTTTCATTGTCATTTATTTTGAAAAAAATACTCAAATAATTTCTAACTATTCTCGTGAAAATTTTATTGTGTGTGAATAGAATTTATGGTAAATTAAAAAATACACTTCTTAAGGTTTACTTAAATTATAAATTACCTCATGTGATTTTAAAATTACGTTATGTCCCTCAAGGTTCTAATTTTATAACAAATAAGTCAGTTTATATTAATAAATCATCAAGTTAATTAACACTTTTTAATAATGTTAAAATTTTATTTCAATTAATAATTTAAATAATTTTATTATTGTATAGGTAAACAGTTTAGAAATTTTTACTTTTTCAATTAATTCTGTTAAATAAAAATTCTAACAAGAGGTATTTGTAATTTTTCAAACCACAAAAGATAATTCGTATTTTAAGTAACCTTAGGAGGTGTATTTGTAATTTATCTAGAATTTATTGGAAATTTTCCTTTTTTGTTTATTTCATTTTATTTTCTTGAGCTCTTATGGCTAAATTAATTAATTAAAATGAAGAAGAAAGTTATGTTAATTGAATATATATGGGTACATTACACTGACCTCTCATTTTGGACAAGGAAAATGTTTGAGGGCCACAATTTTTGTGGCCACAATGGCTCAAAACTTCAAAAACGACGCCGTTTTGTGTGCAAACACATGCCAAAAGGACGTCGTTTTAGCAGTTTTTGAGCCATTGTGGCCCAAAAATTGTGGCCCTCTAGCATTGTTGTTTTGACAAATATAGGGATTTCCTTATAGTTTCAATAATTATAATAACTTTCTTTACTTTAATCTAACATTCTCCAAATTCCACATTCTATCAAATTAGAACAACCAGTGTTACTTTTGTAATAATAAATAACCTTATTGCTCTTTGTCTTAAATATTAAAAAATGTTTTAGATTAGAGGAATAGGTTTAGAAGAAACAAACAATGTTTGGAACAGTATTTTTGGATTTATTTTTTAAAAAATATTAAAAAATGTTAATTTTTTTTAAATGTATAATTTTTATTTAAATATTTTATTTTATTTTGTAAATATTTTAATTTTTTTAATTTTAATATTTTAAATTCAAAATATAACTTTACATTCAAATCGTAACCAAACACATAACTCAAAAACTTAATTAAAATAATTTTCAAACCCTTATAACTAAACACATAACTCGAAACTACACACAATTTTCAAAACTCTATACTCAAATCATAACCAAACATATAAAAAAAAATTTAAATATTTAAAATTATATTTTTAAAATAAAATAAAAACTATATATTAAAAAAATATATTTTTTAATATTTTAAAAATATATTTACCATAAGTTTGTATTTGGTTATGAGTTTTGAAAATAATTTTTTAATTGAGTTCTTGAGTTTGTGTAATTGGTTAAAACTCTATGGGTGTGTTTGATTGGACGGACTGGAAAATGGGGATTAGAATCCATCGGACTTGAGTCCTGGGACTGTGAATCCCCCGGACTATTTGGTCGGATTGGATATGTATCCTGTGTTGTTTTTTCATGGGATTAGATGTCTGGAGAGGACTATTTTCAGTGAATCCAACGTTTGGTTAGACGGACTGGATAGGATAAATGAACAAAAGACTATTTTACCATTTTTCAATTGTTTACTAAGTAATAGCAATATTAAACATATCTTTAATATTTTAATTATTTTTAATTAAATAAATTCGTTTTTTTAAAATTAAATAAATAAATAAATAAATATCAATAATTTTTTTTTAAATCATTACTGTATACAAATCATTATTTTTTTACATGCAAAACTTTATTGTGTTTGTTTATTTACACAATTAAATAAATTTATTTTTTTACACAATTAAATAAATAAATAACCACTAAATTTGATTTAATAAAATACTGTAATAACTTGTATAAAAAATTATATTATTTTTTTAATTAAAATTTTTAAAATAAATTTTAAATAAAACACATATTAAAATTTAAATAATGAAATTAAATAAATTATAAAACAAAATCTTAAAATAAAACATCAATAAAATATCTATAAAAAATTATTTTAAAAATTTAAATAAATAAAACATCAATAAAAAGCTAAATAAAATTATTTTATTTTTAAATTGAGACATTTAAATTTTATTGAATTTATTAAATATAATACATAATTAAATAGTAGAGGGTCAAAATGGTTATTTTCGGATCTAATCCCAAACAGTGAATAGTCCCCCACATTCTATCCCACCCTCCCCCTAGACACAATAGTCCCCCATATGGGGGACATGGAGTCCGGCCGGACTCCATGTCCGGCGGACTAAAAAAAAATCAAACGGTGGATAAGGAACACTATTTGGATTGTAATCCAAATAGTGGATAGTCCCCCCCTCCAATCCCCCCAATCAAACACGCCCTATTGAGTTTTGAAAAGATTTTTGAAAATTTCTAATGCTTGTGATTCAAAAAAAAAATCCTTTCTAGGAACAAGTTTTTACTTAAGACTCAATTAAAAATTATTTTCAAAAACTCATAACTAAACACAAACTTAAAACTAAATTCAAAACTTTTTTCAAAATTCAAAATTCAAAACTTCTTTCAAAACTCAAAATCAAACTTTTTTCAAAACTCTATTTTAAAAGAATTTTTTTTGAAAAACATATTTTATTTTATTTTTTAAAAATATTTTTAGAATCATGATTTGAGTGTGGAATCGTATTTTGAGTTATGAGTTTTGAAAAAAAAAAAATTTTGTTTGGTTATAAATTTTGAATATTTTCGAATTTAATTTTTTAGAGTAAATATTTTATATTTTAAATATTTATTTATTTATTTTAATGTGCATCATATTTCATACATTTATGTGCTGTTTTTTTTATTATTTTAAAAATTTTAAAAATTTAAAAAAATCTAATTTTTATTTTAAATATATAATTTTTGTTATAAATATTTATTTTATTTTAAATTATTTTAAAATATTTAATTTTTTTGTTATGTGTTTGGTTACGATTTGAGTGTAAAGTTTTAAAAAGTAATGTGGAGTTTCGAGTTATGTGTTTGGTTATGAGGTTTGAAAATAACTTTTTAATTGAGTTTTGAGTTATGTGTTTGGTTACATATGAGTGTG